TCCTCCTTCTCCTCCTCCTCCTCGCTCCTCCTCCTCCTCCTCCCCCGTCCTCCTCCCCCCTCCTCCTCGTTCCTCCTCCTCCTCCTCCTCCTCCCTCCCGCCTCCTCCACCTCGCTCCTCCCGCTTCCCCCTCCTCCTCCTCCTCCTCCTCCTCCTCCTCCTCCTCCTCCGCCTCCTCCTCCTCCTCCCTCCTCGTCCCTCGTCTCTTCCTCCTCTTCCCCCTCCTCCTCCTCCTCCCGCCTCCTCCTCCTCCTCCTCCTCCTCCTCCTCTCCTCCTCCTCCTCCTCCTCCTCCTCCTCCTCTCCATCCTCCTCCCTCCTCCTCCTCCTCCTCCTCCTCTCCTCCTCCTCCTCCTCCTCCTCCTCCTCCTCCCCCTCTCCCCTGCCCTCCCCTCCCCCCTCCCTCCTCTTCTTTCCTCCTCCTCCTCCTCCTCGTCCTCCTCCCTCCTCCGCCTCCTCCTCCTCTTCTTCTCCTTCCTCCTCCTCCTCCTCCTCCTCCTCCTCCTCCTCACTCCCCTGCCCCTCCCCTCCCCACCTTCCCCCCTCCCCCCTCCCCTCAAGCCGTGTGGGTCCAAGATTTTGCGCCCTTCGTCCCAGGGTTGAATGCCCACATGATGGTGGCTCTGACTTGAGGACGGCACCAGACCAAGGTGTACTAGTACCTGGTCAAGAAGTGCCGTGACATCGGGTTGTACATGTTTGGGTGTGCCAGCATGTCCTTCACCGCTGGGAAGCCGCTCGCGGAGGTGAAGCACAGCGGCCTCGAGATGGCAACCTTCATCCACATGGACTCGGATAAGCTCGTTGATGGCTTGCTGTCGCTCGGACAGGTGCCCGCCAAGAGCAAGGAACCGCACCTCTTCGACATCGGTTCCGACTACTGCCAGACCGAGGCATAAGATCGAGTTCGGCTCGTGGACGGTACCCTAATGTTAGTCTTATGTGCTGGATCTGAGTGTGCATCTTGGGGGAGGGCATCCTCGAATGTTATTCAGTTTGGGCCGGCGGAAGGTCTCATGTGAAGGAGGTTATTGTGTCCTAGGTCCGACTGTACCTCGTGCAAGAGGTTGACGGCATCAAGACACGGGCCCCACCCGCTAGTGAAGTCGAAGGGGCACGCGGAGGGCACCACGCAGAGCACGACGAATCTTGACAAGATCAACGGCGTGACGAAGGTGCAGATGGCTAAAATAGATCTGGACACGACCAGGGAGATGAAGGAGCAGCTGGCAGACCACCTGCTTGGGAAGTGCGATTGGAACGCGCTCGGCGCCACGAAGTGCACGACTGGCCTTGACAAGAGCTTGGGCGTGACGACGGTGCACTGGTGGGGCAGAACCTGTCCCACGCAGTGCGTTCTCAAGACGGAGGAGGGGGCAAATAAAGATATCGACGCTATCAATGACATGAAGATGCACATGCAGGGTATTGGCACGATCGACGGCGAGATGAAGGAGCAGTTGGCCGAGATTGCGAAGGGGCCCGAGGACCTGAAGATGCAAGTTCGTCCGCTGGAGACGCTCGCTGGGCGCCACGGGGCGGGCACCAACCAGATTTCGATCGACTTGGGTACAGCCAGCGGCATGACAAAGGTGCAGCTGGAAACTCTCCAAAGAGATCTCGCCATATCAATATGAAGAGGCAGGTGCACACTAAAAGTAAGGACAATAGCACCCACGAGACGAAGAAGCAGCTGGTCGCTCCCAAGGAGGGAATGAAGGCGCCGATCGCTGCGATCAGGGCCGATCTAGGCAATGTCAGGAACGCCATGCAGGGACAGCTGGCCGACCTCTTGATAGAGGAGCTGAAGGTCCAGCTGCCAGGCATCAAGAAGGAGCTGCAATCTTCGCTGAAGCAGTTGGACAGCAAGGTCGGAAGAGACTCCGACAAGCTCAGGAGCACCGCCGTCGACTCCCTGGAGACCATGATCACGCTGAAGGAAGGGTTCGAGAAGTCCTCCAATGTCTAAGGGAGGATCAGTGGTGAGGCGTGAGGCCCATTCCTCCTCTCCTCAGCGGGCCGCGGCAGGGCGCGCAAGCAGGTGTTTGGAGCCGCTGGGACGGCTGTTTTGGTAGACAGCACAGGTTGGCGTGGGTACGCCCGTGGATTCTGGATTTCCCTCCTTGCCCCATGTGGCCCTTGGGTCCAGTTGGGGCTGGGATGGTCTGGCGGTACCCCGTGGCACGCCCATGCTGGCTAATGCTGCCTGGTCCGATTGAAGTAGTCATTTCTCCTCCTCCTCGTCCTTCTCCTCTTCCTCTTCTTCCTCCTCCGCCTCCTCCTTGTTAAGGCCCAGTAGCACAACCCCCCCCTTAAGTTTCGTTCAGTGCGTCGCCCGTGCGTCGCCCGTGCGCCGGCCCTAGATTGCGTCTTTGTCCCAAATCTCGGCCTCCCACAGTGCGCGGGCGACATGTGGCGCGACTTAGGAATTTCGCTGGCGACGTATAGGTTTCCGACGCTGGCGCAACAGCAGCCAGTCTGGCGGTCGCGGCGCACGCACAGTTCGACGGTCCGCCAACGCGTTGTGTGTCACATTCGGCACACAAGAATTCGATGGTGCGTTTTTTCGGGGAGCGCCAACCGTAATTGAGGACGAAGACGCCTCGCAGTGATTGGGGGCTACGCGGAGGAGTAGGAGAAGGAGGAGGAGGAGTATCCTCCTTCGCCTCCTCCTCCTCCTCCTCCTGTTCCCCCTCCCCCCTTTCCCCCTCCCCCTCCCTCCCCCTCCAAACTTAATGTTGGTTGGCGTATGGCGGCGCTGGGGCTATGATTGGGGGCCTCCAGGAGGAGGAAAAGGAGGAGGAGCCCTCCTCCTTCTCCTCCGCGTCCTCCTCCTGCTCCCCCCCCCCCCTTCCCGCCTTCCCCCTCCCCCTCCCTCCCCCTCCCTCCCCCTCCAAACTCCATGTTGGTTGGCGTATGTTGGCGCTGGGGCGTAGAGCCCCCGAAACATCCCCTTCTCCACCCCACCCCTTCCTCCTCCTCAACTTCCTTCCCCTCCTCCTCCTCCTCCTCCTCCTCCTCCTCCTCCTCCCTCCTCCTCCTCTCCTCCTCCTCCTCCTCCTCATCTCCCCTCCTCCTCCTCCTCTTCCTCCTCCTCCTCCTCCTCCTCCCTCCTCCTCGTCCTCCTCCTTTCTCCTCCTCCTCCTTCCTTCGATCGCCCCCCTCCACTTCCATCCCTCGACCTTTTCCTTCTTCCTTTCCCCGACACGTCCCCCTTCCCCCCCCTTCCCTCGACCTTCCCGCCCCCCCTTCCCTCATCCCTTTGTTTCGGCCCTTCGCCCGACCTTTCCTTCGCCCCTCTCCCTCCCCTTCCCTTTTGCACCCCCCCTTCCCGTTCCCCTCCTTCCCCTCCTTTTCCTCGACCCCCCCCCCCTCGGCCCCTCCCCCTTCCCTCCCTCGACCCCTCCTCTCGCGCCGCAGGGGTGGCGAGTCCCCCCCGCGGCGGGGCGCCGTTGTTCGGCGCGCCGGTGCTCCCGAGAGCGCTCGCGCCAGGCCTCCGAGGTGTGGTCGTTCGCTGGCAGGGCGCTGGTCTGGGGCTTTGGGAGGGGGGTGTTTCCTCCTCCCCTTCTCCTCCTCCTCCTCCTCCTCCTCCTCCTCCTGCCCTCCTCCTCCTCCTCCTCCTCCTTATCATTCCCCTCCTCCTCCTCCTCCTCCTCCCTTCTCCTCCTCCTCCTCCTTTTCTTTTCTTCCTCCTCCTCCTCTTCCTCCTCTTCCTCCTCCTCCTCCTCCTCCTCCTCCTCCTCCTCTTCTTCCTACTCGAGCAGTATGCCCTCTTGTTTTACCCTGTCCTTGCCTGTGCGTACATGGGGTTGATTCCTGTGGTTGCTTGGCTCCAGGTTACAATTTCCGCGCCCGCTTATACAGCGAGATGTTCTTCACATCGCTCTACACTCCTTTGCGGCAAACCATCCTCTTCTTCCTGCATATTCATTTCTAGTTGGTAGCGGAGCAGGTTTGTCCTTGCTCCAACACCACGGCCGCCATGTCCCGCCTCGCCTCGATGGCCGTGGCTCCCACCCCCCGTCGCTTTACGTCGCGACTCCTGCACGGGATGTCATTCACGGGTACGTCAGGGCTGGACCAGCCCATCCGCAGGAACACCAAGTCGTGCCCCTCTACACCCCGCTCTACATCCGCCTTCAACATCATCGCCTTGGTGCACCTGTTCCCGGTCACGGTGGCAGGATGCGTTACTCTAGGGTCGGGGCATCCGCCCACCCGCCAGGACCATTGGCCGAGAACGAAGAAGAGGAGGAGGAGGAGGAGGAGGAGGACGAGGAAAAGGACGAGGAGAAGGACGAGGAGAAGGACGAGGATTAGGAGGGAGGAGGAGGAGGAAAAAGGAAGAGGAGGAGGAACCGGTTCATATGCGTATTTTCCACCGTGGGGTGATGTTCGTCAGGGACATGTCCACGGGGTCTCGAGCTCTCGGCAAATGGGCGCTTGCGCTGTCGACCAGCGTTCTTGTGCCCATGCTTTTGATGTTGGGCGATGTCGGCGCGTTTTTGCTGCGGTCAGGAACTTTGGCTTAGCGTCTCGCTCCGCCAGTTCTGACCCCCCTCGCTTCGGCGCGACACGCCATCCACGTCGAACCCCCCGAGCGCCAATGCCCCGAGCGTTTCTCGACCTGCCGCGCTGCGGAACCGAGCGACACGCCATCTGTTTGCAGGGCACAGCGCGTCGCTGGGGCATCCGCTGCGGCACGCTAAGCACAAATCCCTGACCGGAAGTCTCCTTGAACTTCCACGAGCCCAGGTGCCCCTGCGAGCCGGGCGGGTCGCGAAGGGAGGGGGCACGCCTGCGCGGCCTGCCTGCGCGAGCGCTTGGCGCACCATATTTCGTTTGGCATCCTGCGGCTTCCCCTGGCTCGAGCGATCCGTTTGCACGGACGGGGCGGACTGTGCGAGGGAGGGGGGAAGGACGGCAATGGCGGGGCGACGGAAAACAGAATGGGATAGTGAAACAGGAAGGGTGATGAGCCAACGAGACGGGGTGGGCAAGGTCATCTCCGCTAAGGTGTTGATGCAGATTCTGTTGATGCTGCTGGCCGGCCGGGGGACGGCCCTGCTTCCACACATATCTGTTGCCAACCCTCCTTCCATTTTCGCCCTCTTCTCCACCCTCGCCCCTCTCCAACATTCTCCTCCTGTTTTTTATCCTGCCCCTGCTCGCCTCTGCTCGCTCCTCTTCTCCAACCCCGCTCCTCTCCGAAACTCTCTCCTCCTCGTTTTTCTCCTGCCCCTGCTCGCCTCTGCTCGCTCTTCGTTTTTCCTCCGAGGGGGCACCCTGTTCCAGAGGCGCCGCGCGCCCACCAGAGCCTCGGGCGATGTGCCTCGCCAAGCGCCCTCCAGGGCCTGCCGCTCTCGCGCGCCAGGCATTACGATTGGCTCCGCCCTTCTGGCGGCCGCGCCTCCGGCGTGGACGCCGCGCCGGTGACGTCGGGAGCGAGGCGGTGCCGACCCCACTGAAAACGTCGATGGAACCAGCGCTCTGCGGAGGAGGGAGGACTCCACGTTGCTCCCTCCTAATCGTTCGACAGTTTTTTGATTTTTCTGGGGGGGGCCAAGCTCCTTTCACGTCTACTTGTTCAATCCTGGGCCTCTTCCTGGCCACGGGGGGGCCAGGAACAGTCAGAAACGAGCACAATTAGAAATGAGCGCGACTGGAAATGAACGACGTGTCCACTTCCGCACCTTCCACCTCGTCCACCTCCTCCTCCCCTTCGGCCTCCTCCGCCCGTTCTCCACTGTCCGCCTCCGCCGCACCGGCTCCCGCACCGACTCCCGCAGCGACCAGATCGCCGACTCCCGGGCGGACCAGCTCGCCGACTCCTGCGCCGCTCGTGCAGTGTTCTCGGACGCCCATTGTTCAGTCGGGCCTGTCCCTCCGCAGGAGGAAGATTCCAAAATAGTAAAAAAAACTTGCCAGGGGACGATTTTTTGACCATGTTCGGCTATTTTTGATTTTTCCTAACTATTTAAATTTGTCGTCCAAAAACCCCATGCACGGGGGCATTCCCGACCTACGCCTATTCGGACAGGACTGGGACCACGCCCCCAGAGTACCAGCGACATATCGACGCCTGATCCTTCTGGGGTCGGCGGCATGCGGAGGCGATGCATCGATGATTCGTTGGACCAGAACCCATGGGCCGTGCCAGTGACGGGCACTGATGTTTGATATCTCTTCTACTCTGTGAAATCAGCACCTAATTTTGTGCACTTGAGCCAAGCGGCTTGCACCACTGGGTTTCCTAAGAGATGCTGCCAACAAGTGCACGGGAATTTGTAACTACAGCAAGCAGGATGACGTATTGTTAGTACTGACGGGGCAGTGGAATATGCTTTCCTGCACGGTAACTCGTAAGGATATCAGGTTTGCCTTCACGAAGGCCGGGACAAGGACAACGTGTTGCTAATAGTGACGATGTTGTGGAAGACGTGGTCTTATTCCTGATGTATTGTGGCGAAGTGACAACCTTGTCGCGGCAAGACGCCGTAGCCTAAATCTTGGGGTACGTCCAGAACATGTTCTGCGAGCGCCTGGGTGAGGGCTCCCCCCCCTTGGACGCCGTAGCCTGAATCTTGGGGTACGTCCACAGCATGTTCTGCGAGCGCCTGGGTGAGGGCTCCCCCCCCTGGATGGTTTCTCCGAAGGGCTTAGGCGACGCGTCATCCTCCTCTCTCCTCCTCCTCCTCCTCCTCCTCCTCCTCCTCCTCCTCCTCTCCTCCTCCTCCTCCTCCTCTCCTCCCTCCTCCTCCTCCTCCCCCTCCTCCTCCTCCTCCTCCTCCTCCTCCTCCTCCTCCTCCTCCTCCTCCTCCTCCTGTCCTCGGGTCGCCTACGGCCCCGATGGAAGCAGTCCACCCCCTCCCCTCTACCTCTATCTCTGCCTCGCCCTGCTCCGCTCCTTCGGGCTGCTTGTTTTCCTCTTTCCCTGCGTGCACGTGGGCGAGGCTGACCTGCTTATTTAAGATCTTCCTTTCAGCCACGCGCAGAGGGGGGTGGGGGGAGGGGAGAGGGCTTCTTAGAAGCACCCCCGCCTCTCAGAAGGCGCGGGCCTCATCCGTAGATGTAGGGAAGGCCGGCGCCTCCTCAGAGGCAGCCTCCCTCCAGGAAGCCCTCTCCTTACGTTGCATCCTTGAGAGACCTCGCCTGTCCCCAAATTGGTGTCTTTTGTTGTGCCTTTCGCGGGCTCGATGCGGACTCGACGCGGATTTGGCGTGGATTCGACGCGGATTCGACACGGATTCGACACGGATCCGACGAGGCCGACACGGATTCGACACGGATTCGACGCGAAAAGGGCCGCGACAGTACAGGCAGGGTCCCCCGAGGAGGCAGCAGGAGGAGGAGAAGAAGGAGGAGGAGGAGGAGGAGGGGAGGAGGAGGAGGAGGAGGGGGAGGAGGAGGAGGAGGAGGAGGGGGAGGAGGATGCAGCAGAACTCGGCCCCTACTGCGCGCACCGCCGAGCCTTGCTCCCCGGCCGGCGGGCGGCGGCTGCCCCTCGTCGTGCGCAAGGCGGGCGAGGGCCGCCCGCGCAGGCGCCCGCCCTTCCAGCCGGCGCCGCTCTCCTCCTCCTCCTCCTCCTCCTCCTCCTCCTCCTCCTCCTCCTCCTCCTCCTCCTCCTCCTCCTCCTCCTTCTGTTCCTCCGTAGCCATTTTGGCTCAAGAGCTTGCACATTGGGGACTCCGCGCCTCCGTGCCAAAACGGGATCGCTCTGTTTCCCGAGCGTGGCAAGGCTCGCTTGCGGCCTGGCAGTCTTTCTTCATCAGTCACGGCCTCCCCGCACAGAGGCCCGTGGCCCAGTCTCCTGCGCGCGCCATGGCTCCTCGTAGGGTTGCTGCTGACGAACCTTGGATATGCAAGTCGTGTGTCCACTCAGTCACTGGCAAGCCGTGGTTCAATGCAGGAGGGACGTTGTACTGCAAGCAGTGTCAACTCCACAAGTCGGTGGTGTTCAAAGAGTACAAGCGAGGCAAAACCCCCAGTGTCCATGCTGCGGGAACTAAGGGCCCTAGCCCAGTCGACAAAGGCCTCGCGGCTCGGTGTGCACAGCTCGAAGAACAGATCAAGAGGCTCACCGCGGAGAAGGCCGAGCCCTCGCCACCACCACCATGGGCGCAGTCACAGCCCGATGGAGCAGAAGAGAAACGCAAGCGCATCAAGGAACTGGACGGTATCATTCGCATGCTCTCACCCGACAAGGATGCGACGGTGCTGGCCAATTTCAAGAAGGAGAAGGAGACCTTGGAGCGGGAGCTGTTCGATGGGCGCCCGATCGAGGACCAGGCTCGGTCGCTGGCGGCTAAGCTCCAGCATGCGAGGTCCCAGGAGTCCAGCGTGCGCAAGGCGGTCGAAGAGCAGAGGGCCAAGATCCATGAACTGCAGGGTCACTTGGACAAAGCTGAAGCTAAGCTCGTGGAGGCCTCCGCAGAGGTGGTCAGGCTCGAGGAGGAGACGCGCAAGGCCATGTCCCAGGTGCGCCCGCCCGAGCAGGAGCGGCCGCCCACGCTCCATGAGATGCTCCCTGGGTTCGCCGTGTCGGTGGAACAGCTGGGGCGCGTCGCCAGCACTCTGGGCTTGGGGCCTGATCTTACGGCTGGGCTGCAAGCGATGGCGGAGACGGTCACCAAGCTGCAGCAGGCGCCGCAGGCAAAGCCACCCTCGCCCCAGACTGCAGAACCACCTGCACAGGAGCCTGACGAAGACGAACCTTCCAACATCGAGATGGAAGAGGAGGACATGCGGGCAACGCTCAACGCGGCAGGAATCCCCACGGACGAAAGCGTCTCTGCCGAGGCAGTCACGGAAAGGTTCAAGCGGTTCCAGACGACGTACATCGAGGCGTGCAAGAGGGCTCGCAAACAATAGCTTCGTCAGCTTCGGGATTGGAATTTTATTCAGTGCAGCAGCAATGACGGCAAGCAATGGGGAGTCCCTTCGAAGCGGGGTATCAGCTTCATCTACAACTCCTTCGAGGACTACGGCATCGGCGGCGAGTGCTACACCGTGGGCAAGTGTCTCTTGGGAGGAGTCTGAGGTTATTGGCACGCGTTGGCTACCCCCAGGGAGGCTCACTCGGCTAGCCGAGCAGAGGCCTGGGGCGGAACCCCGTGCACCGTGTACGTCACAGAGTGCGGCGTCTTCTGCGGCATCGGCACGTGTCTCTTGGGATGAGAAGGGTATTGGCACGAGTTGGCTACCCTCAGCACCGCTCACTCGGCTTGCCGAGCAGAGCGCTGAGGTGGAACCCCGTGAATCGCGTACCTCGCAGAGTGCGGCTTCAGCTTCACGGATGGGGCGTGCTTCTACGACGTTCTCGGCTCCAGGAGGCACGCACTGCTCACCGTCCGTCGTCAGCGGGCAAGCAGCATTGAGGACAACTGAGGGCGGAGAGTACCAACCGTGGGAGGCCACTGGCCCCCATGGCACGCACCACTCACCCTCTTCGCCTCGCTGTGAGCCTGCCGCGACATTGGACGGCAGAGGGTACCGACCTACTGGAGCCATGGTGGGATCAAACATGGACGGGGAGTACGACCCTTTCGAGTTTCTTGATGAAGATCGGGAAGCTGACGACCTCTTCCCCACTATTTGCCCGAACCCCTTGGAAATACGTCAGTCAGAACGCGATGGGGCGGCAGGCGCAGCCTTGTCATCTCCCTCTGCCCCCGCTGATGAACATTTGGATCTCGGACGTGGTAGCGTGAGCGTCGGGTCTGATATATCTAAGACGGGTGGGTTGGAGGGCAAATCTTCTCCACCTGCCATTGCAGGAACAATTATGTCGGTGAGTGCGGGCTCTTTCGGACCATTGTTCGACTTTCTGGCCGTGGTGAAGGCCCAGATCATTTGCGCACAGGAGACGAGGATTGTGGAGTCACGCCTCGGGGAGTTCCAGCACCGCGCCAAGGACCTCGGCTTCCACGGTATGTGGGCACCAGCCTTGGCGACCAATGCCAAGGGTCCGCAGGCCAACCACTGTGGGGTTGCAATTTTGGTGCCCACGAATGTGATGATCACGAAGCCTCCCGATGGCGACCCCATTATTTACCCAGGCAGAGTGGTGGCCAGCTTTGTCAATTGGGGAGTTCCTGGTGGGGTGATTGTGGTCAGTGCATACTTAGTGACAAGCATCGGCCTGACGGGTGAGAATCTTTCCATACTGCGGGCCATCGCGCAGAGAGTCGTGTTCTGGAATGCTGCGGGGTTCGACTGGATATTAGCAGGTGACTGGAATTCTGACATAGCAGCTCTGAATGCGAGGGGGTGGATTGAGTCTTTGGCTGGGTTGTCTTACACTCCACCGTCGGCCACGTGCTGCAAGGATGACGGCAATTCGAAGATTGACTACTTCATTGCTTGCGCAAACTTGTCGTCAAGGCTCGGGACTGCAGTGGTGGGGGACACGTACGGCACAGTACCCCCCCCGCATTATCCAGTCAGCATTGATATTCTGGGTGAAGATAGGCCAGCATGGTGTCTTGTGCCAGATGAGCCAAGGGCTTTCCCTGTTATTCCGCCATGTGGGTGCGCCAGGTTCCCGTACCCGTGGGATGCAGTGGATCATATTTTTCTGGAAGTGAGGGAGGTTTCGAATCTTGCCTTGGTTTGGGACACGGTGCTTGATGGAGTCGATTTCGAGTTGGCTGGACGCTATGACAAGGTTGACAAGGATGCGATTCCGTTCGTTGGCAGGTCAGGCCCTCCACGTTTCAAGTGGAAGCTGCTGGCATGGGAACCTCCGCGCCGTCGTATGTATCGCGAGCCAAAGGTCTATGCGTGGGCGACGGTCAAAAGATGGTGTCAGCATCTCAGGTCGGAGCGGGATCGACTGGGCAGGTTCTGTCAAAGGTTACAGTTGGCTTCTGTGGTCTGCCAGCTTACGCCCCTGCAGTATACCAAGGTGCTGCAGGCCTTCTACGAGGTGGACCAATATTGCCGTAGGATCGCCCGCGACAAGAAGACATGCCACCACCTAGATCAGGACACCGTCGACTTCCTGCTGCGAGGCTTGGGCATGATCGGTGACGCCCACTTCGATTCGGGCCTGGACAGCATCATGCTGAAGGCCGATGCGGTGTTGAAGGCAGCGAGAGGGGTCTCGGAGAAGGCTTGGCGTGGCTGGGCCAAGCAGGCTTTCTTAGGAGGGGCCAGTCTGGCCCATGCTGCGTCCAAGGTGCGCGGCAAGCAGGAGCAGCTCGATTTCGACGTGAACGCCCAGCCGTACCTGCTGGCAAACCACACCCTCGATGTGTGGGAAGGCGTATGGCGACATCGCGACCTGTCGCCTCCAGAGCTGCCGCCAGGCCATGAGAGCTGGCCCGCTCTGCCTGAGCTCGACCACCAGCAAGTGCGGGCTGCCATTCGCAAGTTTTCGACGCGTACGGCAGCTGGGCCGAGCCGTATCTCACCCAGATGTCTGGACGCTCTGTCGGACCAAGCGCTCGAGCGCATCGCCAAGATGTTTATGTTTTTCGAGGAGTGGCTGTCCTGGCCTCCTGAGCGGGTTTACAGTGAAATGGTTCGCTTACCTAAACCTGACGGGGACACACGATTGATTGTGCTATCCCACGCGTTGGTTCGACTCTGGGGCAAGCTCAGGAGACCAGTCTCGGCATCGTGGCAGGCTGGCTATCAGTGCGACCAGATGTGGGGCACGAGAGCGGGCCACACGTCTACGGACTCGGCTTTTGATCATAATATTCAGCAGGAGGTTGCGCAGTTGTTGGGGGAACAGACATGTACAATCTTGCTTGATATGAGCAAATGTTATGACATGGTGGACCCACATGCGCTGCTCCGAGAAGGCCAGGCTCTTGGGTTTCCACCGCGTTTGCTTTGGCTCCTCATTCAGAGCTACCAACAGCCCCGCCGAATAAGGGCCTTTGGGAGTGTATCCAGATCTTTTCGGTCCTTCCAAGGGATCCTAGCTGGGTGCACCCACGCCACATACGTCTTGTACTTGCTCACCTATAGGTCGGTGCAGAGGGTCTCGAAGGTGTCCCCCACGGTGACCCCGAGGACGCTCATGGACGACATTGGGCTCCAACATACCTCCCAGGACCCCAGGGAGGCCAAGTACCTTGCGCTGGCCGCGAAGGGTTTCATCCAGGACTCCAAGGGTCTCGGCATGATCTTGAAGGCTTCCAAGTCTGGGGCTGTTGTTGGTTCTCGGAAGTTCTGGAAGGGGGTGCAGAGCCGCATGGGCTCCATGAAGATCCCGTACAAAGGCCACATGAGGAACCTAGGTCACGAGCTCACGGGGCCCAAGGTTATTCGGGGTATTGAAAAGAAGCGTCTCAAACAGCTCAGAGAGAGGAAGGCGAGGTTTTCCATGCTGAAGTCTGCGGTCGGCAAGGTCGCGACGGCTTTGTGGCGCACAGGCGCCCTTCCATCAGTGGCGCACGGTGCTGCAGTTGCTGGAGTAAGCGACGTTGCACTTCGAGAGTTGCGTCTTTTCGCCGCCGTCTTGAACGGCGCGCCAGGTAAATTTAACATTGGTGTGACCGCCTACTTGATTAGCCACAAGAGCGAATTCTACGATCCTATTTACCACGCCACTATAGCTATTGATATTAAATTTGTGGAGTGGGTCTGGGACGGTAGAATACCCGACAGTCGTCTACATCGGGCTTGGGAGGCTCTCCGAGATAAGATCGGCACACTGTCCTGGGCTAACACTCGAGGCCCGATCGGGGCCTGCTGGCTGACTTTACGACGTATTGGGTGGAACCTAGTATCTAGTCATATGGTGGCTGATGATTTAGGCCATGTTTTCGATTTGCGCGTTATGTGCCCTGCCGACCTGAAGGTGTTCCTCACCCAGGGGATCCAGCGTTGGCAGGACGAGCGGCTGCTCAAGCATTTTTACACCGCTGAGCCTGGCGAGCAGATATGGCACCGAGGCTTACGCAACTCGGTGAAGAGTATCAAGCGTGTTCGTAGACTCGGGGCCCTCCAAGCGCACTGGTCAGGGAACCTCCCCATCCCTCAGCTCCAAGATGCCCGTCATAAGGTACCAATCAGGCCGTGTGCAGCTTGTGGGGCCCAGTCTCAGGGTATTTGGGGCCACGTGCTCTACGACTGCCCCGAGCTGCTCACGCAGCGCGAGGACTTCTTGGACATCTCAGAGGACTTGGAGGCAACCAGAGGCATGCTCTTGAAGGGGGGCGAATGGTATGATGGGCGTCTGGCTTGGGAGTCCAATTATCTGGTCTTTGGGCCCCCTGCGCCTCCTGTGGGTATTCCTGGGCCCGACACTATAAGTTCGGAAATTCTACTGTGGGGCGACACCGACGGGCCTTGGGGCCCCAAGAGCTACACCGACGGTTCGGGCCTCGCCTCCAGTGTTCCAGAGACTAGGCGGTGTGGGTATTCATGCATCCAGCTGGACCCCAAGACCCTTTTGCCTGTTCGTGCAGTGTATGGACCGCTGCCCTTCTATGTGCAGACCGTTGGCCGTGCTGAGAGATATGCGATCAAAATGGGTTTGGAATTTCATCCTGATCACGAGCTGTTCGTGTCTGATCTCCTGGGGCTGGTAACCGAGGGCAAGTCTTGGAATCAATCCCTTCAGCACGGTCGAGGCAAGCACGCCAGGATATGGCGCGAGATTTTTCAGGCTGCGCAGCGTCGTGCACTTGAGTACCCAGTTTGTTTTGAGTGGACTCCTGCACACCGTGACCTCGACAGTGTGCTGGAGAATCCTGAGGAGTTGGAGAACTGGCTCGGCAATGCCTGGGCTGATTACTTCGCCAAGGCAGGTGCGGCGCACCACATGATCGCCAACACGGTTTCTGAGTCGCTCACAGAGGCTCTGAAGGTCCATAAGGCCACGTTGCAGTTTGTTTCGTGGGCGTGCTTACGAGTCATCGTCTCGGAGAGTTGGGGTCGAGGTCCTCCGCCGCCCGTTCAGGATCCTGAGGCCCGTGAGGTTCTGAGGCAGCCAGTCGTGTTCGGACGTGGTTCAGATCATGATCTTTGGTGGTGCAGGAAACTCAAAGAGCATAGGTGCAGGAGATGTGGGAGATCGGCTCGATCGGACTCGACTCTAGCTTGGCTTAGGACTGGGTCGGGAAGGAAATGTGAGCCCTCTAGCCTCCAGAGTCTGGCCTGTGCTGAATGGTTTAAGAATTCGGGGGAGGTCTGGGTCAAAGTGTCGGACCCCCGCATTGCCCCGTCACAAGTGCTTGTCGCGGACTTTTTGGGAGAAGGGCCTTGCGAGGCCTCGGAGGGACCCCTTCCTGGGCCCACGGACCCTCCCCAGGAGCCTGTGGTCGGCGAGGTTTCAAACTGTTCGGGGTCGAACGAGCTCATTGCCGAGTTTGCGGCTCTGGGCCACGATGTTTTCTGTGTGAATTCAGTCTACTGTTGCCGTAAGTGTGCTGGCACGACGACCCTCGAGACGCCTCGGAGCGTTCGGAAGCTCCGTCGTCCCTGTGCTGGGCTCTCAGAGAATCCGAGCACGAGGGCCAATCAGCTGGGGTTGATCGACAGGATCTTCCACGGCCGCCAAGGGCGCCCCAAGCGCCCCGAGGGCAAGGCGCAGACGTAACTCGTCTTGCCCTCCTGGGAGCGGTTTCGAGGCGTCGGTTTTCCCTGGCCCCCGCCCGCCCTCTCAGTACATAATATTTCCGCCGCCTTGCGGCCCCTCAGGGTTCTCATTTGTTCCTGAGGCGTGTTCGGATCGGACGCGCTATCGGTGGCCCTCACCCTCACCCTCCTTCAGCTCTTCCTCTCCGCCTGCAGCCGCGCGCTCCGCTCTGTCCTCTTGCCCTGCGGGCGCACTGCAGGCCTGCGGCTCCCGATCGGCCCGTCGGGCGGAGCCTCCGGCCGCGATCCGGCATCAGTCGCTCCCCCCTCTCCCTGCTCTCTGCTTTCCTCCTCCTCCTCCTCCTCCTCCTCCTTCCTCGCCTCCTCCTTCCTCTCCTCCTCCTCCTCCTCCTCCTCCTCCTTCCTCTCCTCCTCCTCCTCCTCCTCCTCCTCCTCCTCCTCCTCCTCCTCCCTCGTCCCTCCTCCTCCTCCTCCTCCTCCTCCTCCTCTCCTCCTCCTCCTCTCCTCCTCTCCTCCTCCTCCTCCTCCTCCTCCTCCTCCTCCTCCTCCTCCTCCCTCCTCCGTCTCCCTCCTCCGTCCCCTCCCTCCTCCTCCTCCTCCTCCTCCTCCTCCTCCTCCTCCTCCTCTCTCCTCCTTCCTCCTCCTCCTCCTCCTCCTCCTCCTCCTCCTCCTCCTCCTCCTCCGTCCCCCTCCTCCTCCTCCTCTCTCCTCCTCCTCCTCCTCCTCCTCCTCATCCTCCGTCCCCTCCTCCTCCTCCTCCTCCTCCTCCTCCTCCTCCTCCTCGTCCTCCTCCTCCTCCTCCTCCTCCTCCTCCTCCTCCTCCTCCTCCTCCTCGTCCTCCTCCTCCTCCTCCTCCTCCTCCTCCTCCTCCTCCTCCTCCTCCCTCTCCTCCCTGCTGCCCCCTGTCCCCCCTCGCGCGTGCGGGCCCCGCCGTTGCCAAGCGCCGGTGGAAGGAGCACGCGCGCCCGAGTTCTCGTTGAAGTTCGGTGGCGCAGCTTGGCCGTAGTCAGGTCGACGCTACGGCGTGAGGGCGCATGAGTCTGCCATCCATGACCGGCGCAGGGCGTTCCACCGTGATGCATTGATCTGCTTCTGGCCGCAGTGTGCCCACTCTTCACGGGGCCCTGGCAGTACAAGTAGCCGATGCAGGTGGTGTGTTGATCATCGGCTGTCCGCGTCTCTCTCCCTTCCTCCTTTCCCCTTCTCCCAAACATTCGCTGTAGAAAAAACATTGTCCACCTCCGCCTCTTCCACCTCCTCGTCCCCCTCTCCCTCCTCAACATCCGCCTCCTCCATCCCCTCGTGCACACCCTTCAGCCGCCACCCCCTCCGCATCCTCCGCCCCCCGATGCTCTTCCTGCTCCTCCTCCACCTCTGCTTCTTCTGCCTCACCATCCAGTTGGACTGGGAGGAGGAGGAGGAAGAGGAGGAGGAGGAGGAGGAGGAGGAGGAGGGACAGAGGCGGAGGAATTGGAGTCGCCTGAATGGTAGGTCCACGGGGTGCCCGTCTCTCAAGGTGGCCGCTTGGGGCAGTGAGCCAGAGCGCCCGCGATGACTCGCGAGGAGGGGACACAGGGTGGTAGGGTGCGTACTGCAGCATCGGGGATGCGTCCTGGGTTTACTCTGGACCTCCCCCCCTCCTGCTGCTGCTCCTCCCCCTCCTGCTGCTGCTCCTCCTCCTCCTGCTGCTGCTGCTCCTCCTCCTCCTGCTGCTGCTGCTCCTCCTCCTCCTGCTCCTCCTCCCCCTCCTCCTCCTCCTGCTCCTCCTCCCCTCCTCCTCCTCCTCCTCTCCTCCTCCTCCTGCTCCTCCTCCCCTCCTCCTCCCCCTCCTCCTCCCCCTCCTCCTCCCCCTCCTCCTCCTTCTCCCCTTCCTTCTCGGTGCGGGTTCGGTGCTACAACAGACAGTCAGAGGCTAAGTCATTTGTGTTGTACCCCCACCAGAAAAAGGCGGTGAGAAGTTCAAAGCAACTCACTGAGGGTTTTGTCCCTCTCACCGCGACCCACCCGTGGCCGTTCGTGCTGCATTGACTGAGGATGCAGTTTCCCGTTGTCGCCCGCGCCGTGGACAGTTCACGGCGTTTGGAAGCGGGGGCTGCTAGTCGGCGGCGAGCGAGGGGGGGAACGGAGAAGGAGAAGGCCTTCTCAGAATGTTCGGAAGTCCCCCGGCCTTCTGAGAAGTTTCCGAAGCCTTCCCCGAAGACAAAACAAAGACTTCTCGGGCGGCGCGAGGGCTTCCGAGAAGCCCCGCCGCCTTCTGAGGAGGCCGTCTCCTTCTCGCTTCCTCCCCCCCTGCTCGCCGCCGAGCTGGGCCAGAGGCGTTTGACCCCCCCCCCTCCCGTGGCCCCCTTGGTGACTCACCACCCACCAAACCACCCCAACCCGACCCGAAGGCCTCAATTTGCCCTCCATTTCCAGTTGAGGGGGGGTCGGGGAACATCGAAAAAACACATGTGGAACCCGCACCCCCCCCCAACCCGAAATTGGGGTCTTCGGGTTGGGTTGGGGTGGTCTGGTAGGCAGTCAGTGACTGTGTGCAGCTCTCCTCGGGGGCAGGCCTCCGCCGGAGAGCTGGCGGGCGCGGTGCCTCTCCGGCCTCGGAGGCAGGGCCAGCGCCGCCGCCCCCTCCCTCCCGAGGCCGTGCTTCCCCGCAGCGGCCGCCCGTCTCGGGAAGGGCGCGTTGCTTTGATTGCTCGGGGCAGACTGGGCACTACAGTCAAAAACCCTAACAAGGACGCGCGACTTTGCTCAGGGTGCCCTCGCGTCCTCGCTCCTCCTTGCTCCTGCGTCCTCGTGGTCTTCGCCGCCCGCCGCCCCAGAAATCCCAACTTCGGCCTCCAAGGGTCTTGCGTCCTCACCGCGCGTCCTTATTAGGGTTTTTGACTGTATGACGTGACGCCCCCCCCACCCCCACGCCAGTGCGCTCCAGGCACCCGCCGCCGTGCGCACGGCGGAGGGGGGGGAGGCCTTGCACACTATGCCCCCCCCCCCCCTGGCCTCCCCCCCGAAAACCGAAACGGACGTGCACACGCGCACGCTCGCGCGTGCGCGCGCACACGCACGGGCGCGCGCACGCGCACGGGCGCGCATTCGCACGCGGACCTCCCCCGTTCGAGGGCGAGGCGACTACACTGCTGGGACACCCACCTCTGGACCCGCCCCCCCCCCACCTTAGTCCTACTACTTTTAAAGCCCGTGTGGCGCAAGCGCTAATCTTTAAAAGGGGAAGTGATTCCAGACGTAATATGCCCAGTGCCGCCGAGAATAGGGATGCGCGCTCGAAGCTGGAGGGCAGGAGGGGCCTCGCTGTAGCACCAGCAACGAGGGCAGTGACTTGGCTGCTTGAGTAGAGAAGCAGCAGAGTCCTCCTCCTCCTCCTCCTCCTCCTCCCTCCTCCTCCTCCTCCTCCTCCTCCTCCTCCTCCTTCTCATCCGCATCCTCATCCTCATCCTCTTCCTCCTCATCCCCCCCGTCCTTCCTTCCGACGACGACGGCAGGCGCTGACCCAGACATCCGATGTCTTGATTTGTTCAATGCGGGCCCCCGGAAGTCCCAACCCTTTCCGCATGGGCTTTTCGTATTGGGCCTTCTTGTGACGGTGCCAGAGCCCCGCGAGGACGCCCGGAGGCCGAAAGCGACGACAATGTCCGTCCGGATGTCTTCACGACGCTTGGCTCGACTAGACGTAAGAGTGACCTTTCGCCGGAGTGACCTTTGGTGTGGGCACAGGTGGGCCCCCAGATGGCCGAGCGCGAAGCGGTAGCAGCGGCTAGCGCGCCTGGATTTGGCCTCCCCACGGCCCCCCCAACGCCGCGCACCGAAGGTCACTCTTACCCAGGGTCACTCTTACGTGTAGCCGATTGGCTTCTGGGGTTGGGAGGCCAACGGAGACTGCGTCTGCACCCCCGAGCTGGACTGGTCGTCGCGGAAGGAGCTCGTCCTCGGCCAGACGCTTTTCGGCTGCCTCACGCTCGGCCTGGAGGTTCCTCCCATGCCCGCCGCCCTGCATCCGGGGACTGGAATCGGGCGGCCGAGGGCTGCTCGTCGTGTTTTTTTGCTGCGCTGCCCCTCTCGAGGCTTCCTGGGGCCATCTCTGGGAGGGGGGAGGTGGGAGTGAGGGGGGGAGGGAAGGATGGAGGGAGACGGGTAGGGGGGGAGGCGAGGGGAGGGAGGCGTCGCGAGGGAGGAGGAGGAGGAGGAGGAGGAGGAGGAGGAGGAGGCGGAGGCGGAGGCGGAGGCGGAGGAGGAGGAGGAGGAGGAGGAGGGAGAGGAGGAGGAGGAGGAGGAGGAGGAAGAGGAGGAGGAGGAGTAGGAGGAGGAGGACGAGGACGAGGACGAGGAGGAGGAGGAGGAGGAGGAAGAGGAGGAGGAGGAGGAGTAGGAAAGGGAATAACGATAAGAATAATAATAACAAAAAAAGAGGAGGAGGAGGGATTCGCGGGCGGCGAGGGATATGATGTTGCTGATGATAATGCTGCTGATGATGATGATGATGCTGATGATGATGCTGATGATGATGATGACGCTGATGATGATGATGATGATGATGATGATGATGATGATGATGATGATGATGATGATGATGATGCTGATGCTGATGACGATGACGATAACGATGACGATGATGATGATGATGATGATGATGATGATGATGATGATGATGATGATACAGATGATGATACAGATGATGATACAGATGATGATACAGATGATGACGATGATGATGATGAGGAGGAGGAGGAGGAGGAGGGTGGTGGTGGTGGTGATGGTGGTTGTGATAATGATGAGGAGGAGGAGAAGGAGCAGGAAGGGGATGAATGAGGAAGGAGGAGGACGGGGAGGAACGAGAAGGGGGAGGAGGGGGGGAGGCAGCGAGGATGAATAAGGAAAAGAAGGCTCCCCTGCATCCCGTCCTTCTCCCTCCAGGTCCCATTCGCTCTTCCCTCGCTTTTGCTTTTGCGCGTTCAAAGGGCTCTTTGTGCCCGTAAGGTCCTCCTCCTCCTCCTCCTCCTCCACTTCATCCTCATCCTCCTGGGTTCCGCTCCACCTCCTCCTCCTCCTCCTCCTCTTCTTCTTCTTCATCATCAGCATCAGCATCAGCATCATCATCATCATCATCATCAGCATCATCATCACCAACAGCATCATCATCATCATCATCATCATCATCATCATCATCATCATCATCACCATCAGCATCATCAGCATCATCATCACCAACAGCAGCATCATCATCATCATCATCATCATCATCATCATCATCAGCATCATCATCATCATCCTCCTACGATGTCCTCCTACGATGTCCTCCTTCTCCTCCTCCTTCTCCTCCTCCTCCTCCTCCTACGATGTCCTCCCTCGCCCTCGTGGTCCGCACGCTCCGTATCCTCTACCTCATGCCAGGCACTCCCTCCTGGTCTCCTCCCCCTCCCGCTCTCTCTCCCCTCGCTGCCCCATGCCCATCCCCTTCCCGCCTCTTTGCCCCCGTGCCCTCCTCCTCCTCCTCCTCCTCCTCCTCCTCCTCCGCCTCCTCCTCCTCCTCCTCCTCCTCCTCCTCTCCCTCCTCCTCCTCCTCCTCCTCCTCCTCCTCCTCCTCCTCCTCCTCCTCCTCCTCCTCCTCCTCCTCGCGTGAGATCTCCCTGCGTGCACGTGGCCCTGCAGACTTGACGCTGCGGACTGCTACGCTGGTAGATGGCCCATTACGTCTCTTGGCCACCTGCGGGGTCGCACAGAGGATCTCGCCTCCCGCGTCGCGGCCTGCGTCGTAGAGCTGGCCTTCTTCATGGGGGCGGTGCGAGGGTGCAAAGATGACCGCGCGTCGCGCATCGGGCAGCGCGACGCGCGAAGTTGGGTGACCAACAGTAGGTTCGTGTCGTGTCGACGCGACGGCGACCCTAGCGCGGGCGTTCAAGGTTGAGCGCCGCCAGCGGCCCAGGATCGGCCAACGTCTTGGAAACATCTGGAAATCGAAACTCGCCGCCAATCGTCCAAGGCTGAACGCTACGCCGCAAGCGGCCCAGGATCGGCCAAAGTCTTGGAAACATCTGGAAATCGAAACTCGCCGCCAATCGTCCAAGGCCGAACGCTCCGCGCGGTGCCAGGAAAACCGACGCCGGCGCCGTCGTGAGGCGAGGCTGCGCATCGCTGCCCTGCGGCGGCGCCGTGCACCTGTCCTCGGAGCCCCCCGGGCCACATCGCTTGGAGGGCGGCTTCGTATCTTGAGTGTCCGCGTGCGTCGCCCCAGCCAGCCCCGGCGCTGAGGCTTCCCCCTGGCGGCAGGTCCTGCTCTGCTCCGCGCTAGGCAAGTGGGCCCCCGCGCGGCCCGCTTGGACCTTACTCACCGCTGGCGCTCTCGCCTGCGGCTGCCAACAAAAAAGTGCGTCGCCCCGGCTGCACGGCCGAGTCTCGGATCTGGTCGTTGGTGCTAACCCTGCAGCCGCCCGCCACGGGGGTTGACAACAGCCAATGTGTCTGGCAGGTCACTGTATGTATCGGGCTCTTCGTGTTCGGGCTCTGCACCTCTGCACCTCGCGACGGCGGGAATGACTAAGCGAAGCACAGAAAATAATAGTTAATTGTTAGGAAAGCGAAAGCGAAAGCAAAGCTCCCCCAAAAAAGTTAAGAGTTAAGAAAGCGAAATCGAAAGCGAACCGCTCGGCAAAAGTTAACAGTTTCGCTTTCACGTGTCGCGAGGACAGTACCGGCGGCCCGGATTGGTAGGTCGACCCTGCCAGATCAAGTCTACCCGCGTGGCCTGTGCCTTGCGACCCGTGCCTCCTGCATCTCTGTGGCAGCGTGGCCCTCGGAACGGTCTCGTGTCCTCTCGCGTGTCCCCTCCACTCAGGTCCGACTGCACGGCCGGGAGCGGTGCTGCCCCCCCACGCTTCGGGGCGACACGCTGACCACGTCCTGGTCCCCGTGCTCACCACCTACCAGACCACCCCAACCCAACCCGAAGGCCTCAATTTGCCCTTCATTTCCAGTGGGGGGGGGGTAGGGGAACGTCGACAAAACACATGGAACCCGTACCCCCCCCAACCCGAAATTCGGGTCAAATTCGGGTCTTCGGGTTGGGTTGGGGTGGTTTGGTAGGTAGTCACGTGCGTGAACGCCCCAAGCTGTCACCAGCCTCCCGCCCCGCGGGGCGGAGCGACCCGCCGCCAGCCTGCAGGGCACAGTCCGTCGCGGGGTCCGCCGCCGCGACGCGCGGAGCAAGAGCTCCCGACGGTGAGCACAAGCCTTGGCATCGCCCGGACGTGTGCATTTCTCCGTCGGCGGGGGCCATCGAGGAGCACCCTTGACCATTTGGCGAACAAAAAACACGCACGAAACCGAACAAAAAAAACAGGGAATGGACGTCCGAGCGATGGCCAAAAGCTTACTTCTGGAGGGTACCCTGGCCCTTCGTGTTTCGGGCTCTCCACCTTGGAGTGTTCTTCGTCGGGGGTGTCTCCGTGCGGCTTTTTGGGCCCTCAGCGGAGGGGCGCATATTCCTTGTGGCATCGCCCGGACGTGTGCATTTTTCCTTCGGCGAGGACCATCGAGGAGCATCCTTGATCATTTGGCGAAACAACCACGCAGCAAACCGAACAAAAAACACAGGGAATGGACGTCCGAGCGATGGCGAGATTCTCGACCCACGCATCTGTGGCCGTGCTTCGACTCTTGCAGCCGATTGGGTTCTCAGCAAGCCAGTCCTGCCACTTCGGCGGCAGGACCATCGGGTTATGCCCCTTCCAGCCTGGCCGAGTCGCAGACCTCTGTCTTGTCCTTTGGCATGCGTTTGTGTGGTTGCTGTACAGGAGAGCTGGCCAGTAGCTGAGCATTCTCTCTCGCAGCAGAGGAGGAGGAGGAGGAGGAGGAGGTGGAGGACATGGAGGAGGAGGAGGAGGAGGAGGAGGAGGAGGAGGAGGACGAGGAGGGTGGAGGAGGAGGAGGGGAGATGATGAGGAGGGAGGAGGAGGGAGGATGATGATGATGAGGAGGAGGAGGGATCGGACAGAACAGGAAACCTTTTGGCTCGTGAGGAGCATCACCATTCTGGCCCTCCGGGGTCCTGCACCTGCGGCAGGACATACTTGCACGGGACAGCTGCATCGTTGTGCCGTCGGACCGAGGTACAAGATCGAGGTAGTTTCGGGGACGGCACCCTGATGTTCTTCGCGTTTGGTGGATGGTTGTTGTGAATCCCGGGGAGGGTACCTTGGGATGTTCTGTGTGCTTTGGCCGGCGAAGGGTCTCATGTTCGTGAAGGAGGTTCCTCTGTCCCAGGTCCGGTTGTACGAGGAGGGGTTCTGGGCCGGGAGGGCGTGTCGCAGCATCATCGACGTGCGTAAAATGTTCGTGGCGCCGCGCGGATGTCTCGGATTCGAGTTGGAGCCCTGTTTTCAATGCTAGACGCTCGACAGTTTTCAGGAGGGGAAAAAACACACAGACACAATGATTCGTCGATTCCCAGAAAATGTGCGAAAATATGGGAAGTGGGGGGGAAGACAGAAACCCAGAAAGTATGGGAAAATATGGGGAATATTTTTATTTTTGTGTATTTATTTGTGTGTCCCAGGGCCCCTTCAAGTTTACCGCGGCAGCGAATGCAGAAATGATGGCAACGGGAAATCTGCCATAGGAAGAAGAGGAGGGGGAGGCAGAGGCGGGTTGAGAAGGAAGAGCAGGAAGAGGGGGATGGGGGACAAACTAGCCGCATTCGCGCCATATCTGGCATCCTACCCCTCCCACCTCCCGCCCATCCACTGCGTTGATGGTTTCTCTTTGCGGCAACGGGCGTCTGAGCGAACGTGGACCCCCCCAAAGGATCCCATCATGTTATGCGCTATTCGTATTTACAGGAGAGCTGTGTGAATTAGAGGAGGAGGGGTGGCAGATGAGCATGAAGATGAGCAGCAGGAATACTATGAGATGTCAGCCAGCATGGGCCCCCAAAAACGGTGTGCCTCTAGCAGTATATCGTGTGCAATTCGGGTG